TAGTTAATTGTGTAATCCTTTCATCTATCTATGTTTATGCAATGTTCCTGATGATGTAGTCCACAGGACTTTTCTTCTTTTGCATCATCAGTGAACATGGTTGGAATGGTATAAGGTGTTTGTATCTTCAGATCACTTGCAGGTTGTTATAAGGTGCTAGGAGGGAAGTTAGTGATGTTTAGTTAGCATAATACCTTGAATACCTTCTGATCTGTGCTCAGAAGAATTTGCATCCAACTTACAGGTTTTATGTGACTCGGTTTGCTTTTTTGGCACTATCATTTGTATCATGTCTCTGCAGTTCTTGTTTAAGATGTTTATACGTTGTAGGTAGAATAGTTTAAGAATGCAAAGATTCAGGTACCTGAAAATATTTACGTCCCAAAGTACTTAAGTGCCAAGCAGATTTTGCGTACCTTCACCTGCCTTCCTGCAAATGAATGCTTGCCAGTGGAGAATGCTGAACCAAAGCAGCACTAACACAGACTGTGCTCCATAAAGGAAAAGTGTTTCTTAGGAGTGCAAGGAAGGATGCTGGTGTAACGACCACAGGTCGTTTACTGAATGTTAACCTATATACTGCTTTTGAAGGTTGCCCCATAGCAGTTAGTTGTTGCAGAAGTGCTGGGGGACAAATAATGCATCTTGTACACCAAATCTACATTTGGAACAGCACCAAGTTGAATGAGGATTTGTGATGCGGTCATAGATACCATGTAAAAACAAAAAATGTTCATGTTTTGTTTCAGTTGCCAATGATAATGCTCCAGAACATGCACTTAGACCTGGCTTTCTGTCCACCTTTGCCCTTGCAACAGATCAGGGCAGTAAACTAGGACTTTCAAAAAACAAAAGCATCATCTGTTACTACAATACATACCAGGTGAGGAACAGCATTGCTTGTTCTTACTGGCCAGAGCAATTCCTACATTGAGAAAGGAGAGGGAAGGTGGTTTAAGCTGTGGTAGGTTTCCAATAGGCTGCTATTAAAATACTTATGTATGTTTTATTTCTGGTGCTACTTAAAGCTAGCTAAGTTAAACATTTGCGATATTTGTTGAGCTACTTTCCTGTTTATCAAACCTGAGAAGATTTACTCATTGAAACTGGTGAGCTTTCCTGAGCAGATAGTAACCAGCAATTTGCTGCAGGTGCTGTTGAAATGGCCTCCAGAACTTGTTATGATGGGTTAACGTTCTCTTGTACAAATGAATACTTGTGTGTTTATGATCAGAGACACCTATAAAAAAAAAAAAAAACTTCAAATAAGCACATCCCGCTTACTTCACAGTTAATCTTGCTGCAAATAAGACTTCAAGAAAAGAAAGTTTTGAAATACCCATTCAATTTTTACAGACTAGATATTATATTTGTGTCCTGAAATCTAGCATCCAATAAGTTTCTGCTCCTTCTGAAGTCCTGGTGGTCTTGCAAGCTTTTTAGTATGACTGCAGTAAACTGATCAGCTGTTTGGGCTACTGTGTCCAGCTTTGAATGAATTAGTTTATGCACAGGAATATATTGCTTTGATTCTCTTGACACTACTGATATATTGTTGTGCTCAAGGTTTGAGCTCCCAGTTAAGGAAAGAAGAAATATTTCTATACGCTGAGTAGCATTTTAAAGCAATAAACCTGCCTGCCTTCTTGACATCTGTAGAGTGTGTGATTTTCATAGAGTGTTCTGTAGCTTTTGCAGTTGAGTTGATTTCAAGTGGATAATTGAAGAAAATGAAAGGGAAGGAAACACCAGGCTTTCTAAGAACACCTTCCTGTACTGTGGTAAAGGCTCTGTTAGTGTTTTTAACAATGAATCTTATGAAACAGATATGCTTAAAAGCCACTTCTACAGTTCTTACTCCTACTTGCCCTTTAAATTGTGGAGAGTACTTGTTTCAGAAAGAGTTTATGTAGCAAAGCTCTAAAGTGCAAGGTGTGTTAGCTGTTTTCTGAATATTATTCTTTTTCCTTGCAGGTGGTCCAGTTCAATCGCTTGCCTTTGGTAGTAAGTTTCATTGCTAGCAGCAATGCCAATACCGGTATGTCTTCAGATATGCTTTAAATATTATGGCATTTTAAGCCCCAGATGTTTGAATAATTGAAGATAAATTACTTGAATTTAGTTGAAGATATATTAACTTTGCTCCTGC